CAACAGCAGCCCTCCCCTCCACCTTAAACTAAAATTTATGGGGAGCTAGGTAACTGGGGTGGTTCTTTTAGAGAGGATTCAAATTTGCACTTCCAGAGACTGGCAAGCAAAGTAATAGAGGGGGGAAAAACCAGTAGTACTTGAGAGGAAACAACACTGAGACCACATCAAATAAATGGGGTGGGCCTGGCACATCATTGTGCTGTTATTTGGCAGTGCTTTCTGGGGCTTTTCATCCCAACAGCTCAAAGCATTTTTGAAACTTCAAGTAATAACACCCACCCACCCTCAGGTAAACATGATAGATTCACAGGATTTAGGACCTAGAGATCCCCAAGGGCTAAGGCTTCATTTTATGGACAAGAAAAATGAGGCTAGGAGAGGTTTAAGTCGACTAGCTCAGGGCTTCCCAGTCAGTTTGAGGCAGAGCTGGGAGTCCCCTTTCTCCCGGCTCAGGGAGCTTTCTCCTTAGCCCTTGCTGCCTGCTTCACAAGTGCAGAAATGGAGGGAGAGAAACATTTCCTCAGGCCACACAAGGAGTCAGGAAGGGAGCCAGCCCATGATCCCAGAATCCTTAGCTCTCAGCAAGTACTCAAAACAGTTGCCAAGGCTCCCTACCCAGCAGTCACTTTCAAGCTGTTCCCACAAAGAAATGACTGGTATGAACATGGGCTCGGTTACTCTCCAAGCATGAGGCCCTAGAGACGGAAGGGCCCCTCTACACCAAGCTGGAAGACCCCTAGCTACCTACTCCCAAAGTCTGCTAATTCAACAAAGGGTATTTGTAAGTGGTTTCCCCCTAAAATTCCTAAGGTGGCCATAAACACAACATTTACAAACAGTAATCATTTCAGCAAAACCCTCTATATCGAGGAGGTGCCTACTTGGGGCTGTTTTTCATGAAGACAAAGCAAAAGGAAATAAATAGAGAACAAGATAATCACAGAAGGGAACCAGTACTCTCTACCCTTTCCAGCTGCCTCTTTTTCCTTTCTCTTAATGTGTATATATACACACATATATATACACATATACATATATATAAGGAAAACTTAAGGGATAGATATATATATATATATGTATATATATATGTATATATGTATATATATATGTATATATATATGTATATCTATATATGTATATATATATGTGTATATATATATGTGTATATATATATATGTATATATACATATACACACACATACATATATATATATATATATATATATATATATATCTCCCTTAAGTTTTCCTTGTATGGGAGAGGGAGAGCCGCAGAGAAAATGTAAACATCTTTGGTTGTTGCAGTTTTTTCTGAAGCTAACAGGGAAATCTTTCTTTGAGGGAACACAGAATTTCTAGGGAAGTAAAGTCAAAATCTAAGCATCTTAGTATGTTATGGCCCCTTGGCCATTCTTCCAAGTGATAGTTTACCTGACAGTCTGACAATTTAAAGGGGGCGGGGATCAACAATGAATAGATTCTGCTAATTTCACTAATTCAGCTAAGTCTCATTTTAATCCACTAAGTGGGAAGACTTGATGGACCTTAAGTTATCTTTTCCAGTTAATTTAAATCAGACTTGGAAATAACCTTTTTTCTTCAGTACTGACTGAGAGGAAGGAAAAACTTTCAGCCCTGCAGTGCTTAAAGAATTCTGTCTTTATTTCACCATATGGGAAAAGGAAAAGAGTTGTTTAAACAATGCAGACTGACTAATAATGCATATCAGTGAGGCTCAGATGGGCATTGTAGAGATTGACCTTTCTCTCCCGAATTGCCTGGGTACTTTTAGTAGGAGGTAAAGGTAAGGAGATCACTTCTTCCACAAAATGCTCCTAGATGAGGCTCTGAGAGTAGCATCGAGGAACATTTTGCCCTGAGCTACTCTCAAAGCCTTGGCTAGGTGAGCCACTGATCTGACTATAATGAAAAAAAGGACAGACCTGAGAGCCTGGCATTCTGCTGGAGTCACTGGCTCTCATAATTGCTAAATTTCAGTGTAAGTATTTACACCAAGGAAATTAGCAAATGCTACAAATCACAGCTTGGTTTATTGTTTTGTTGATTGTCTAGTCTTTAAGAAAATGTTGGGGGCAGCTAGGCAGCTCAGTGGATAGAGCACCGGCCCTGAAGTCAGGAGGACCTGAGTTCCAATCCAGCCTCAGACCAAACACTTGACACTCACTAGCTATGTGACCCTGGGCAAGTCACTTAACCCCAATCGCCTAAAAACAAACAAACAAAAGAAAAAAAAGAAAATGTTAACAATGCAGATTAAACTAAAAAGTGTGTCCATGGTACATTTTTTTCCTCCCAGAGAGCAGGAGAAGGTTGTTAAATATTTATCAGTCCTAACTCTACCACCAGCTAGTTGTACGACTGGAAGTTAAGAAATTAAGTCATGCTGGGTCTCAGTTTCCTCAGATGTCCAATGGCGATCAAACTATATCTGCCCTTTTTTTTTTGAGGAATAAATGAGATAAATGACACAAAAATACTTCAAAAGATACACTTTTCTTATAGGTTATATTGCCTTGTATCAATTTCTTCTCTTTTTCTCTTTTCACACTGGCTCTCCATTACTTCCATACCTGAAGGCAAGTCATCAGCTAAATTATTATTAACAACTCACATCCACCATATGGATAATGACCTTGGAAAACTCGGGATCATCGAGATGAAAGGAACTTTAGAAATCATCTAGTCCCTCAACCCACCTATCCAATGCAGGAATCCCCTGTATGGCATCTCTGAAAATTTTATCATGGAGCTTCTGTTGTAATACTACCACTAACAGGAAACTCATTCCATTTTTTGGATAGCTCAAGTTGCTATAAAGCGCTTCCTTTAAATGCAGTTGGTCAGTCAATAAACAGTTAGCAAGCACCTACTATGTGCCAGGCACTGTGCCACTGCTGGGGATATGAAAAGATTCAAAAGACAGCGCCTGCCCTCAAGGAGCTCATGATCTAATGGGAAAAACAGCAAGCAGACAAGTATGTATAAATAAGCCAGACACAGGATATATTTGCAATAATTAACAGAGGAAAGGCACTGGAATTAAGAGAAGCTGACAAAGGTTTCCTGAAAGAAGGTAAGATCTTGGCTGGGACTTACAGGAAGCCAGGGTTAAACCAAAATCTGCTCTTCTGCAATTTCTACTCACTGGCCTTGAGTCTGTCCTCTGGAGACATACAGGAGAAGATTAATCCCTTTCCTTCACCACACCAGCCTTTCAGATATGTAAAGATGACTATATATGTATTACTTCCCTCCCCAAGTCTCGTCTCATTCCCAGTTTATGACAACCTTCCAAGCAAAAGCAAATGCTATTTCCTCCATAAAGCGTTCCTTGATCATCATTCCCAATCCTAAGTGACATTTACTTCTGCTAAATTAATAAAATACTTTGTATCTACTGCCTAGTTATTTGGGCCCATTTCTTATCTCCTCTACAAGACTGTTAACTTTTTGAGGATGGCGAACATGTATTATTAATCTCTGTAGCTCTCCTTATGCCCTGCATATAGTAGGTCCTCAGCAAATATCTGTAGAATGCATGAACATGACATTGTTTCTAGACTTTCAACAATCTGTTACCCTCCTTCTCAATACATTCCAATTTGCCAACATCTCCCTTAAAATATGGTGCCCCAAATGGCACATATCACCCTAGATGTGGCCTTATGGTCACAGAATACAGTGGGATATTACATTCCTCTTTCCAGATGCTATCCTTCTACTATTTTGTACAATTTATCCCACAATTCCAGCCTGCTGCAACTTTTCTGGATCTGGAAGACCCAAATCATAGATTTGGAGCTGGAAGAGACCTTTAAAGCTACTGAGTTCATCCTCTTTTACAGATAAGGAAACTGAGGCCCAGAGAGATAAAGTGACAGGTTGTAGAGACAAGAGCTGGGATTTAAACCCAGGTCCTCTGATTCCAAATCCTGGGCTTTTTCCTCAGAACCACACTGCCTCTGTCATCTAGCATAGAAGTGATTCCTCCTAGTTTTATTCCAACCACCTTTGTGATATCTTAGTTCAAAAAAAGACAAGGCCAAGATCAGAGGTTTAAAGCAATTGCTAGAGATCTTTTCAGCTGACAACAATATATTAATCCACACATTTTGAATCACTCAAATGATGTATGTTCCTAAATGCACAAAAGCCTAGTGATGAATCTTGGTCAAGTTGGGGTAGGCAGCTGCTGAGATTCCTTCCAACTCCAAGATTCTGTGAACCCAACCTACGTCTCTCGAATCTTGTCCCCAAAGATATTATCAGAGACTTTTTCAAATGCTTTGGCTGAAATTTACAGATAGCACGTCTACAGGGTTTCTCTGATGTTAACAGGCTAGTAATCTTACTCTACAACACCTTTTTTTCAAATGTGTTCTGGACCCCTTTGGCAGATAGACTGGTTAAGGCTATGACCCCCTCCTCAGAATTATGTTTTTAAATTAAAAAAATAAGATACATAGAATTACAGATATAATTGGTTTACACTGAAATACAGTTATCAAAATGTTTCTAAGACCTAGGTTCATAGATCCCAGGTTGAGAATCCTACTTCTACAAGATGATAAAGTACAGAAACAAAGAGAGAGGGAAAAAATACAAGACCATCAACATTATTCTTAAATTGGTGTTCCCTCTACCAGAGGAGGGACAGAGTGATGAAATGGACAAAGCAGGCGAACAGTGGAGAGACTGATGGCTGGAGTCAGAAGACCCAAGGCTGCATACCAGGTCAGCCACTTACTATCCAAATGACCTTAACCAAATCACTTTAACATCTCTGTACATCAATTTCCTCGCCTGTAAAATGACAGGACTGGCCTACATAAGGTCCTTTCCAACTCTATGATATTACGATCCTAATCCTGTAATCATGAGAAATATCAAGAGATTGGCCTCCAAAGTCCCTTCCGGTTCTACATCTCTGATCCTACAGCTATCTCCATCGTTTGCCCAGATTCATTGTTCCTCACCTTGTTCAGATGCAGTGGTTATTCCCAAGGCTGTTCCACTGAAGGGTTATGATGCTTCCCCAATGTTCTGTGACTCTCCAAAGTATCATGTTCACTTAACCTCTCTCCGCCTCAGTTTCCTCTCCTATAAAATGAGAATAGGAATATTTATGTTACCTACTTCATCAAGTTGTATAGAAAGCCCTTCACTATAAAAATGGTGCTGTTCAAGAAAGTACAAATTTTATTAAGAAATAATTTCTTTTTCCCAACTTTGCCACAGAGAAAATGGACTTTGGGGACACTTGGGCATTGGACAAAGTTGCTCTCTGAGGACTAGACTCTAGGTGGAATGCAGAAAGGCTAAACAATTCCTTTTCACACACCACCTCATTCAAGTTTTAAAAGACTCCTTTTTGTTTTCCCCCATGCTTTCCACAGTCAAAACCGATAGGAGCTGTATTCGTTTCAGTTCTCCCAGAAAACCCCCATACAACCAGCTTTGTATCAGATTAAAGACAAAACCCACACAGGGGAGATTCTCAGGCCCCATGAAAAAAAAAAGTGTGGGTAAAAGAGGCCTAGAAAGGCAGAGCAGTCAGGCTTCCACCACTGTTTTCCTGGGAGGCTCTAGAATCTTTGTTGTTATTTATGTTTCATTCCCCACAGCCCCTCCAGGGTAAAGGGGGAAAAAAAGAAACCTCTAGTTTTTACAACCCAGCACAGTGAGAAGACAGCCCAGTGGCTGGCCCTCAGCCTTGCTCCCCTTGGCTGTGAATGCCAAATCCCGCAAGCAAGGCAGGGCAGGGCAGGTCAGGTCAGGTCAGGGCCCAGAGGAAGTTGAATCCTGTCTACCTTTCCCAGCTGAAAGAACTGGTGGTGATGATTCAATAGACAGCCTGCCCCTGGAGCTAAAGATGAACTATTTTCACCTCTGGTGCTAGCAAAGGCTACCCTGCTGGGTAGGCTTTGCACCATGGGCAGCTTCCCACCAGGTGCAGGAAGGGAGGTGGACAGAATTACTGAAAGCTACAGCTCTGCTATGACTGAGGACCAAGAAGTGATATCGACCCCTTTGTGATGGCTCCCAAGTCTCTTTCAGCTGGGCAAATAGGGGATAGATACAAGGACTGGGTTAGAAAGGGAGAAGGTAGACTCTATGTTTTTGGGCAAAGGGATAGTTCTGCTATGCCCAACACCATTTAGAGCTGCATCATGAGGTAATTACTTTTTTCTCGACACACTGCAATGATGTCCTTATATACATACATACATACATATATATATACACATACACATATATGTATACACACACACACACACACACACACACACACACACACACACATACAACATCCTAAGCCATGGCATGACTGAGCCTCAGGAGCTAGATTACAAAATGAAAAGGTAAGTTCTTCCCCATTAACACCATTAATTCATCCCCTTGGTTCTAAATGTGTAATTCTCCTTCAGACAATTTTCAAGCTAAAATTTTCCACGTCATTTCTCTTAGTTTTCTCTTCCCTTTTACTTTTCACTTCTTCTTAATGCTCTGTCATTTCATCCCATTCTCCACCTACCTTCTCCACTTCCCCCTTCCACCAGAAACAAACAGTGGAAAAGTAAGACCCAAAGGACCAAGAGAAAGAAGGATGAACCAAGTAAGAAACACTGGAAAATTTTGCTGGCCACAGTCCAGAGAAGAAACATACCTAACTTGTGCCATCTTCCCTCAGTGCCATCGTGCCTCTAACCTAATCCTCAAACACACAGACAGTCTAAAAGTTCTTGTATAGACTGCAAAACCAATGACCCAGTCATCTGAGTCCCAGGAAAGGACAGAAGTTCAAGACCAAGGGATTCTGATCTCACATACTGGCCGACATCTGAGTTACGGATGGTACAAGCCCCTGGCATGGTTGCAGGAGAGTCTATCAATGTACTAAGGGATTCCTAGAGATGGGACTCTTCCCTGCCCAAAGCAAGTCACCCCACAATAAACCAGGGGCAGGTACACCCTCAAAATTCCCTCAGTCAAAAATCCAAACAAACCAAATGAAATGTAAGCTCAGTTCAGGGAATATGTTGATGTACCATTATGATTTCCTCTCAAAATTGTTAGAAAATCCACATATTTGGTTCTCATTTGAAATATTTTTTTTTGGCAGGGAGAAATACAGAATGCTTTTCACATAGTAGCCACTTCAATAGCTATTTATTGAATGAATGAATGAGTTCTGAGTTAGGCAAATGAATGTGGCTCATTCTACTTGAAGCCATTCCTGATTCCTCCATTTCTCTCACCTTCTTCACCCAACCAGTTGACCAGGTGCTGCTCATAAGCTCTTAGATTCAGAGGTGGAAGGGACCTTAGAGGCTAGGGAGTCCAACCTCCTTATTTTACAAAAGAGGAAACTAAGGAACAGAGAAGTTAAATATTTACCCAAGGTCTGTTAATTCTACCTCTGAAATACCTATAACATACACCTCCCCCACTTCCACTATCACCACCCTTGCTTGGGTGTGCATATTATCTTTCCACCTAGACCAGTATTTCTCAGAGTATGGTCCAGAGACCTAAGACTTTTTCAGGGTGTCTGCAAGGTCAAAAACCATTTTGATAATACTACTAAGATATCTTAATTTCTAACATGGTAAATATCAATAGATATGACCCACATAAAGAGAAACTCTTTGAGATCCTCAATAATTTTTAAGAGTCTAAAGAAGTCCTGAGTCCAAAATGTTTGAAAATCACTGACCTAGACTATTTTCTGGCTAGTCTTTCAACTCCTCCCCAACCACAATTCATTCTTCACTTCTCTAGGGAAGTTATCTTTTTATATACAAGCCTGATAGCATCACCCCCTTACTCAAAAACCCTCCAGATCTTCTTAATACCAAGAAATAAAAATGTCAGGTCTAAGCCTATTGTTGGAGATATTCCAAGATTGGAATCCAATCTTCTTTTCCAGTCTACTGGATTTCCCACTACTTCCCTTTATGTGCTATATATTTCAGCAGAACTGGACTACTGAGCTTTACTTCTCTCCATGCCTTTGCTCACATCATCCATATTCGGAATGAACACCCTACCCCACAATGCACATCTACTGAAATCCATCCTCTCATTCAAGACCCAGCTCCAATCCCATCTCCTCCATGAAACTATCTCAGTTACTCTCAGCTGGGCTGATCTCTCTTGCTCCTTGAATCTTTCTGGCTACTGTTTGGCCCCTTGCCACTTAAGCCATTTTCATGCTTATATTACAGTTATTTGTATCCTTCTCACCTTCTAATAGATTGCAAGCTCCTTGAGGAAAGGTACTGTCATTTTTCATCTTGCTACTCTCTGCACCTAGCACAGTACATAACATATAGTAGGCAACGCTTGTTGAACTGGACTGAATTCCAGATTGGAGTTCACAGTTTGGTTTAGTTCAGATCTAAAGTAAAGGTTAGAAAAGAAATGCTCTCTTACTCAGAAGGACCCTCTTTCTCACTCTTATATCTAGAGTAAGGAGTTGGAGAAGAAGCAGGACCGGAAACATTTCCTACTAATCAATTTCTTCAATGAACAGTAGGAGCTTTGGGGCAGCACTCTTGAAGCACTCAAGTGTCTTGAGTGGAATATCAATGAATGCATCCACTTTCTACCTAGCACAAAGCTAACTTATGAGTGACATCAGCAATACTGCCATGTTAGCTAATGAGCAAAGAGCAGGGGACAAGATACTGTATTGGTGAACGTGCTCCACCTTCTCTTAGTAATCTCTTACTATGCACAGGGCGATTAAAAGACATAAGAAATGACATCAGGCCATCCAACCCAATAGTCTTTTTTCTGACAGTGACACCATAGAGTGTATTGTAGCAGCTGCTCTCTTCATGATATTGACTTTAAGAGGTTAGGCTGAAAGACAGCATGGACAGGGAGATAATAAAATGTAGTAGAAAGAGGTGTAAAAAGAGTTGGGTTTGAATCCTGACCTGACTACTTGTCTCCTGTGTAATGTTAGATAAGTTACTTAACTTCTCATGGCCATGGCATCTTCATTTGCAAAATGAGGGGGAAAAATAAAATAAAATAATTTAAAAAAATAAATAAAATGAAGGGGCTAGACTAAATGACTTCAAATGTCGCCCCCAGTCTAAACCCTATGATATGACACTACCCCCTTGGCATTCAAAAGACCTCTAAAATCAAGCCCTAGCGTAGCTTTTCAACCCAATTTTCTGTTACTCTGCTATAATCCCCTGCTCTGGCCATATCAAAATACCCATCTCCCAAACACCCTACCCACTTTATCCTCCTTGCCACAAATGGCCGTATCCTTCCTTTCCATATATCTGAATCCTCCAAATTCTTCTAAGTCAGTTCTGCCTCCTCTGATCATCATAGCCCACAGTGGCTTCTTTGTCCTCTAAACTCCCACAAGCACTTATTATCCATATTACTCATTTGGTATTATCACACATGGGGCTGCATTATATTATTAATTATCTTTTTACGTATGTCTTGTTTCATCAAACTGTAAGACTTTTGAAGGCAGGGACCACTTTCTATTTGTTGTTTAGTTGTTTTTTTTCAGTCGTGCGTGACTCTCCAATTTAGGGGTCATTTAGGGGTTATTTCTTGTCCAAGATTCTGGAGTAGTTTGCCATTTGCTTCTCCAGCTCATTTTACAGATGAGGAAACTGAGGCAAACAGGGTTAAGTGACTTATCTAAGGGTCACACAGCTAGTAAGTGTCTGAGGCTGGATTTGAACTCATGAAGATCAGTCTTCCTGATTCCAAACCCAGTGCCATATCCACTGCACTGCCTAGCTGCCAACCACTTTTTATACATCACTTTAATTCAACAAACATTTAGCAAGTATCCCTCTGAGGCATCATGCTAGCAGCTATGGCAGTACAGACACAGGTCCTGTTCTCAAGGTGTTTACAATCTAATAGGGGAGAGGGGAAGGACTAGTATACAAATAACTAACTAGTCATAGCTACTGAAGGCCTGGAAAAGAAAAGTTCTCATCACCAAAATTCTTGTTACCGATCAAATGGCTAAACATCAGAAACGGATATGGTTTCATCAGTGGAAATGATATCAAAGATGTTTTACCATTTGTTTCACAGCTGTACGTGAAGGACCAAGAGATCTTCTCCATCTGGCTCACAGCTGAAACCTCCTCTAGGTGTTATGGTCCCTATAAGAACTCGAGCTAGATAAGGAAACTGAGCACCCTGCTAGGGGCAGCTAGGTGGCTTAGTGAATAGAGTGCTGGACCTGGAGTCAGGAACATCTGAGGTCAAATCCAGTCTCAGACACTTATTAGCTGTGTGACCCTGAGCAAGTCACTTCATCTCTATCTGCCTCAGTTTTCTCATCTGTAAAATGGGGATAATTAGCACTGGCCTCCACAGTTTGGTGGCACAGTAGATACAGCACTAGCCTTGGAGTCAGGAGGATCCGAGTTGAAATTTGGCCTTAGATATTTACTAGCTGTGTGACCCTGGGCAAGTCACTTAATCCTAATTACTCTCCTCCCCCCACCCCCCCAAAAAAGAATGTAAACTCCCTAAAACAGGAACTGTCTCCACTTTTCCATTTGTGACTTCAGCTCTTAGCACAGTGCATCGCATGTAGTAAACACCTATAAATGTTTTTAGCACCATGTTTTGCATATAGTAAATACTTAATAATTTTTTTTCATTCATTCAAATATAAGAAAAAGGAAAATAAAATCAATATAAAGGAATGGGCTGCAGGCAATTACTATAAGAAATATGAGGTGATAAAGAATAATTTCATCTAGGGTGGGAATGGAAGGCTTCCTATTAAGGGGTAGCATGTATGTGGAACTTTGAAGGACGGCATTTGATTCAAGGAGATGAGAGCAGGGAATAAGTTCCTTTCACATATAGTATCTAAATATGCACAGGCAGAAAGTAGATTAGGTTGGCTTGGACTCAGCGTATGTGAAAGGGAATATGAAATCAGTTTGGAAAAGTTACTAAGAGCCAGGCTCCAAAGGCTCTTAGGTGAGGAGCTGACATTTCATTCTGGTGGCAGTGGAAGTCACCAAAGGTTCCCGTGTTTATGAAAAACATCGTCACAGCAGCACATTAGCAAGATTACTCAGACATCGAGGCAAAGCACAGATTGGAGAAGGGCTAGACTCTTGGCAAGAAGAGTAGGTAGGAGGTTATTACAATAGTCTAGATGAGAAGAGATGAAAGTCTAAACTCGGGTGATTGCAGTAGGAGGGGAAAGGAGAAAGTAGATGCAAAAGATATTGCAGAGATCAAAAAAGATAGAACTTGGCAACTGATGAGGCTGGAGGAGGGAGAGAGAGAGAGGGAGAGAGAGGGGAGGAGGAGAGAGAGAGAGAGAGAGAGAGAGAGAGAGAGAGAGAGAGAGAGAGAGAGAGAGAGAGTTCTTTGAATCCTTGTCCAATCAGATCAGAAGTCTCAAGCCAGGTTTCTTATCCTCACTATCAAATGGAAACCCAGCACTTTTCTTAAGATTTAAATTGAAAACTGAAGATGTTTCCTTTGCTTACTGTGCTCTACAGAGAATACGGAAAAAGAATGCCATTTCCAGGCCCCAGAGCACAGAAAGCTCTGGAAAGCCATTGGTGGTCCACTATCTGACATCCCTTTAGGGGTAGGACAGTGCCAAGAAATTTCAGAAAAGTGCTCTCTTCCAGGAATATGATCTCAAAAATAAACATGTTTCTCCTTCCTGTCTCTTAGACTATGAGCTTCTTGAGAGCAGGGACTACATTTTGCTTTTCTCTGTAGTAGACAGCTAGGCAGTGAAGGGGATAGAGCTCTAGATCTGGAGACAGGACTACCTGAGTTCAAATTCTGCTTAAGAATTACTAGATGGGGCAGCTAGGTGGAGCAGTGCAGGGGATAGAGCACTGGCCCTGGAGTCAGGAGGACCTGAGTTCAAATCCAGTTTCAGACACATAACACTCACTGGCTGTGTGATGCTGGGCAAGTCACTTAGCCTCTGTCTGTCTCAGTCTCCTCATCTTTAAAATGGGGATAAGATAACACCTACCTCCCCAGGTTTGTTGTGGGGAATCAAATGAGGCAATATTTGGAAAAGGGCTTTGCAAACCTTCACAAATAGTAGTGATTATTATTGGTATCACCAGTTGAGCATAGTGCCTAGCACATAGTAGGTGCTTACTAAATGTTAAGTGCATTTATTAGGACCGTTAAGTGTATACAGTGGATAGAACGCCAGGCCTGGAGTCAGAAAAACTCCTCTTTCTGAGTTCAAATCTGGCCTCAGAGACTAGCCACGTGACCAGGGCAAGTCATGTAAGCCTATTTGCCTCAGTTTCCTCAACTGTAAAATGAGCTGGAGAAGGAAATGGTAAACCACTCCAGTATCTCTGCCAAGAAAACTCCAAACGGGGTCAGGAAGAATCAGACACAACTGAAATAAATGAACATCATAACAATAAATGCTATTGATTGATTGAAACCTCACTTGCCAAGGCTATCGGCATTCTGAGAAAACAAGTTCAACTTTAATTGATTTCCACTCTGTGGAACTGATACTCTACTCTTTGATTAACCCATAGCTCCCCGCCTCAAAAATTCAGATCTTATTCTCAAGCTAAAACTATGTCATTGAGGAGAATGAAAGTGGAAGTCCCTGAAAGTGACTAGACAGAGTGATTAGCCACAATGTTGAGAATACTGAATTTGGAGACAGAAGGCCTGGTCCCAACTCTGCTTTGTTGTTGTTGAGTTATTCAGTTATGTCCAACTCTACATAACCCAATGGATTTTTGTTCATGGGCTCTTCTTGGCAAAGATACTGGAGTGGTTTGCCATTTCCTTCTCCAATGTACCCCCATTTTTACAGATAAGAAACTGAAAATGACTGAATAATACCAGGGTTTTAATCCATTCAAGTCCACTAGATAAGTCATCAAATTAGAGCAGAACTAGATATAATGTGGGTTCCTGAAATGCCACAAAGAACGCATTATCAGTCGACATTATCTATAAGACAGCCCCATGGCAGGGACCCTAATATAACTTTATAGAGAAGCTTTAGTGTGATCAATCCTAATGGCCAGAGAAAGGAGAAGTGGTCTCCCTGCGATATTACCACAGTGACAACAGGCTGGGGAAAAAAAAATTCAAAAGCTGAAGGAGATAGCCTTCAAATGACACCATATTGAGCCAAGCTGGAAAATCTGTGCTTGTGTATGGAAGGAAAGGGAAAACAGGTGAGCTCTTGAAGTATGAGTGGAACACTGCATGAAAAGAACTGGAAGGAAGGAAGGAAGTTATAGAGAGGGTCCCTGGAAGCCAAGGACCAGACCCCAGAGTTTCTCTGAGTCCTGAAAGCTAGATGAGCTTCTGCAGGTGATCCTTTCTGATGTGGTTGCATATAAAGAAATTCTTTCTATTATGCTTCAGAGCAAAATGGGATATCAATCAGAGGGGGATACTCCTAGTGCAGTGAAAGATTTGGACTCAGAAGACCCTGCATATAGCTAGGTAAGCTACTTTTCTCTAGGCTGTATCTTTTTTCATCTATAAAATTAGAGTGTAGAGGGAGATTTAAACTAGATTGCCTCTAAACTTCCTTGCAGCTCTAAATACCATGGTCCTATAAGCAGAATCTTTGCCTTTAGTTGGGACACTGAATGGAGAAATGTACTCTTGGGCAGTAACGGAATAAGGTGACATGTGCATACCTATTAGAGAAAAGGAAAAAAAAAATCACATGCCACTAAAGACTTAATACACAGTAGCAATAATTTAGACCTTGGTGGTTATTTTCAGAAAGATTGGCCTAGACAGAAGATGACTTCTCCAAATGCCACCGAACATATTCAGGTTATCCAATTTTTTCTCATCTCACATATTATCTTGTCTAAAAGGTTAGCTATAGTAGAAAGTAGCAGTATCTGAAAGGAGCGCAGGAGTGCCAACTTACCCAGGAAGGTTAAAGTCTCTCCTCTGCCGAAGGATAATGCAGCTCTCTCCCTGAGGGTGATGTGGCCAGAGCTCCTCCTGGCACAGCAGCTGACCGCTGGAAGTCTCCTCCAGCTCTAAGAGTCTAGGAACCTCCAAAGGCTGCAGGTGTCATGTGTTTTCCTAGACGCCCAGCGACGATGCTGCTCAGCTTGTTCTCGATGTTCTGAGATCCATGGGCTCTGTGGCTGCTTTTTTCCACACCCCTCTCCCGGGGTGGGGGCACCAAGCCAAGCCGAGGGAGACGGACTGGACTGTGGGGTGCACAGGGGCAGAAATCAATCCCCTTGAGGCCAGTTCAACAGCATCCATGACCCTCCTTCCTAGGGATGGGGGGGAGGCTCCTAGAGGGGAGAGAGGGAGGGGAGGATTGGAGACAGAAGGAACTGGCCCTTTCAAGGCTGCCCCCAAACCCTTACTGCTTCCTGGGGTACAGAGATGGGGGCTTCTCCAAGAACATGATGCCACAAATAACACCCATTCCCCAAGCCCAAGATCGAGGAGAAGGAGGAGGAGAGGAAGAGCTGGAGAACTGGCTTCTCCTTAACGTCCATAGGAAAAGGAGGCGCAGGGGTGGGTGGGTGGAGGGGAGAGATGGCTAGCTATAAAAGAAGGGTTAATGAAGGAAATACAAAGAGTAAGGACTAGCTGATGGGGTGCGAGTGTACGGGAGAGATGAGGTAGAGGGTCTCCGAGGGCCGTGGAGGAAGGAGGCTGAGGGGCTGGGTCCCAGATCGTCGCCGCCGCCCACCCTGCTCCCCCAGCCTCCGCCAAGGCCGCGCGCCGTCACCGCCACCGCCACCTCCTCTTTCTCCTCCTCCTCCTCCTCCTCCCTCTCCTCTGCACAATGAAGCTCAGACCCGCTCCGGCTCCCCCAAACTCCTCCCCTCCGGGCCTGGGACTCAGCAGTCCTAGCCCCACAGCCCTCCCGTCCTCTTGTTCAGCCCGGTACTGGGAGCTCACCGCCGAGGAGCCGCCGCCGCCGCCGCTGCTCAGGGCTGGGCCATCCCACCTCCACCTCCACCTCCCCTTTCTGCCGCCAGCGGCACCGCCAGGGCCGCAGCTGCCCTGCCTGCCCGCCTCCCTCTCGGCCGCCGCCGGTCCAGCAGCGGGAGGTTTCGGGTTGCAGACCCCCTATCCCCCACCAGCTCTTCCCGAGTCAGCTCCGCCGCTGACTGCGGCTGCTGCGGACACGCGGAGAAGGGCCGAGGGGACCAGGAGCAGGGAAGAAACTTTGCTGGGCTGCACCGCGCCGCGCCGCGCTGAGATCTGCTTATAACGCGCCGCGCCGCGCCAAGCGGGCCAAGCTGCGTTGCGCTCTGCTCTGCACCGCCCGCCCCTCCTCCGGGCCTCTCTCTCCACCTCCCGCCCGCCTAGCCTGCGCGGCCCCAGACCCGCCTCCCTCATGCTAGTCCTCCCGCCTCCCTGCGCCCCCACTCACCTTTCTGTACTTCCTTTCTTACATTCCCACCCCATCCTCCAGACTGTTGTCCTACTCAGTCCCCATCCCTCCTAATGTCCCTTATCCATCTCTTGTACCCATCCAGCCCCTCGGGCCTGCTCCCCGCACTGCCTCGACCCCCTGCGACTCTTCTTCTGGCCCGGGTTCCCAGTTTTCCTTTCCTCAGGTCTGCGTTCTAGACTGTCTTTGCAATTCCTCCTACCTATGTCACTGACTTGCCTCCTCGTTCCCCTTTGCCCTCCCCGGGTCTGATCTCTTGGCTTCTTCCCTTCGTTCCATCCTTGCCTTTTTTAAAAAACTTTTTCCTTCTGTCTTCAGCTTTGTACTTTCCCTTTTCCTATCTCTACTCCTCATTTCCGGATTCAGCCTTTTCAGATTCTCCCTTTCCTATTCTCCTGCCAAACTCCAGTTCTCTCCTGAGCTTCCTCATCTTCATATCGCCATTCTCACCCACTTAGATATATTTCACTTACTTATTTCTGTCTTAAAAAAAATTAAATATATTCCTTCTGCTTTACAGTCTACTCTAAAATCCCCTCCTCTTTTAGTCTCTTCATATTCCATCTTCAACCTCCTCCTTCATCATCCCAGTTAGCTCCTCTCTCCCCTTCTTCATTCTCCATCTCTTCTCCCATCCCCGTCTTCCTCCATGCACACCACTCTTAATTAGGGGAAAACGTGAAGCGAAATTTCCAGCAGCTCAAAAGAAAGGGCACTAAAATAGGAGGGTGGTGAAAATTGAACCTAAATGGTTTTTTCAAACTTCATGAAAAAAAAAAAACAACCAACCAGACATTTTAGAGACATAATTGGGTAGCACATTGGACTTGGGAGTCAAGTAACCCATCTTTGAAACCTACAAGCTCTGTGACTATGGGGACATCACTTAGCATCTCAGAGCCTCAGTTTCCTCTTCTGTAAAACAGTTAACATTTGCATTACCTACCTCACAGTTATTGTGAAGAAAGTATTTTTCAGACTTTGAAGATATGTGTATTTTACCGAACCTCATTAATAGAATAGATAAAGCCTTTGAAATCAAGCCTCTTCTCTAGGTTAATTAGTTACTCCTCAGTTGCTAATTGGGTTCCTTGGGACGAAGACTTGAATGAATTCTTTAAGGAGCTGTAATTTCATTCTGCATATCTGAGCACTTCCTCCACATGGCATATTGTAATCTCTTTTTAACTTAATAGATGATTTCGAATTCTACATTTTGAATCACCTCAATATCACCTCCCCCTCTCTGCTCCTTTGCTTGAGTCTTGGAAGAAGAGTTACCCCTTTTCCTTGCCAAGGTCAATCTTTCTATTTGTGCCTTTGATACTAACACTCCTGTTCCTTCCAGTAGCTTGCCCCCACAATCACCTCCTCTTTCTCTCTAATTTTCAGTCTTTCCCTATTTACTAGCTCCTTTCCTGCTGCCTTAAAATGTGCCCAGGTCTTCCGCACCTTTAAACAGCCTTTACTTGACAGTACTGTCCTATATATCTCATCCCTATACCAGTGCCTTCGTTTTCTCTCCACTCAGCACTTCTCAATCTCTGGAAATCTGACTTCTGAAATCATCACTCACCTGAATCTGTTCTCTCCAAAGTTACCAATGATTTCTTAACTGTGATCATTTGAGATTGCATGACCTCATCTCAGCCCTCATTCTCCTTTACATTTCTGCAACACAGTTGACATTGATGACCATCCCTGCCTCATGGATATTCTCCACTCTTTGGGTTTTTGGTGGCATTTTTCCCACTTGGTTTTCCTCTGACTCTGGTTACTTGGTTAAATCATCATCCATGTCCTACTCCCAACATATGGATGTACCCAAGAGCTCCATCCTGGGCTCTCTTCTCTCTCTTTTTATACTCTCTTTCCAAGATCTCATCAGTTCTGATCTGGCTCAATTCTTTTTTTCTTGAGCTTCATTCCTTCATCACCAACTGCCTATTGGACATTTCCTGTCAAATTCCCTGTAGGCATATAAAATTGAACATGTCCATTGAGACATTATCTCTCCCCACAATTTCTTCCCTTTCCCTAATTTCCTTATTGCTATTGAAATTACTGCCATCTTTCCTATTCCTATCCTCTCACTATCATATACCCATGTTCACAGCCCAAGAGCCTCACTCTTCTCTCTCTTGTCTCTCCGTTCCCTACCCCCTACCCCCATATGCAATCAGTTGCCACGTTTTTTTCAATGCTAGCTTCACAAAATCTCTCACATTTACACAGAGAGGAAGAGGGAAGGAGGAGGAGGGGAAGGGAATAAGAATTTATATAGCACCTACTATGGGCCAGACACTGTGCTAAGCACATTTTTTTTTACAAATATTATCTCATTTGATCCTTGAAAAACCCTAGGAGGTAGGTGCTATTATAAACTTCCTTTTACAGATGAAGAAGCTAAGGCAGACAGTGGTTAAGTGACTTACCCAGGGTCACACAGCTAGTTAGTGTCTGAGGTCAGTTTGAACTCAGGTCTTCCAGACTCTGGACTCAGCATTCTATGCACCACCTAGCTACCACCAATCTAGTTCACCTGTCCCTTGGATTATTGCAATCACTTCCTAACTATTCTCCCCACTCCAATCCATCTTCCATGTAGCTGCCAAAGTAATATTCCTAAAGGGCAGGTCTGACCGTGTCTCTCCTCTCCTTATGAAGCTCCAGTGGCTCTCAATTGTTTCTGAGACGAAATAGAAACTTCTCCCTTTGGTATTTATAATTCTTCCTAAACCATCTCCTGCCACCTTCCCAGCTTTATTGCCCATAACTGTCCTCCATATATTCTATATTCCAGCTAAACTTCTTCCACCTAAACCTTGTGTCCCCCAATTCCTTGCCTTTGCACTGGTTGACCCCCATGCCTAGGCTGTACCTCTTCCTTACTTCTGCCTCAGTGTACCTAACAACCTATTTTGATGACTTCAGCTGCTAGTGACCTCCCTTCTCCCTTTCCCTCCTCCCCACCCAGAAAGTATAGGAGGAGGAAGCACATGGTAAGGGATTTCCTCTACTAATGTAACCCTGTATCTGCCTTGCAATTGAAGGTCTTAGTTGCAGCTGGGTGGTGCAGTTGTGAGAGTGCTGGGCCTGGAATCAGGAAGACTCTTCTTCCTAAGTTCAAATCTGGCCTCAACCACTAGCTGTATGACCCTGGCCGAATCACTTAACTCTGTTTGCTTCAGTTTCCTCATCTGTAAAATGAGCTGGAGAAGGAAATGGCAGACCACCCCAGTATCTTTACCACGAAAATCCCACATGAGGTATCGAAGAGTCTTACGACTCTACAACATTAATTTTGGTTTTCTAAGTCAATGTGGGGGCGGCAGAAATTCTCATTTACAGTTTAGCAGCCCTCTCCTATTGGAGTATGACACCACTGAATGACATCATGCTGCCTGTCATTTACCTGGCATATATTTTTATTTATTTATATTTATATCATTTTCCCTCACTAGAGTGTAAGCTTTGTGAGGATGAGAATTATTTCATTTTGTCTTTGTATCCTAAGCACATACAGCAGTGCCTAGAATTCTTTGTTCAGTCATTCAATTGTGCCTGACTTCATCCAGGGGATTTTCTTGACAAAGATACTGGCGTAATCTGCCATTTCCTTCTCCCGATGCATCCCCATTTTACCAATGAGGAACTGAGGCAAACAGAGATTAAGTGACTTGCCCAAAGTCACACAGCTAGCAGATATCTGAGGTCAGATTTGAAGTCAGATCTTCCAGACACCAGGCCCAGTGCTCTATCTAGCACACCACCTAGCTGCCTAGGCTATATAGCAAGTGCTTAATAAACATTTGTTGAATAAATGAATATTGTGCATTGCCCAGCATCTCCATTCATAGGACTGCCATACTTTTAGAACCATTTAAATTAGACTTGGCAGTCAAATAGCAAGAGTAAATCAATTTATAAATAACTTGTACTCTGCATTTACTGTTCTCCCCATTAAGAGCCATCCTAAGTTTGTGATACATTGGCATTGATTTCTAGAGAGCAAAATAATGCATGGATATGTACTTTCCTTTCTCCTACTTAACTTTAGATGGAATAAAAATAATTTTTTATCCAGCTCAAAGATGAAGAACTTCTTGTCTCTGGGCTATATCTAAAAGAAAGATTAGATAAGGGAAAATATTAGCTTTGTGCAGGTAGCAGCAAAAATACAACACTTCAAATTCCAAGTCTCTAATTGTAATTTCCTCAAAATTCATGAGATGAGGATATCGTTACCAGGGTTTCTGCTGAAAAAGCAGGG